TAGATCATCTCTCATCCCTTTCAACTTAGTCTTCTTCCAATTTAGAAGTTTCCTTTAGATTGCTCTTTTCACTTCTCCATTACTAACTTAAACCTTATGATACAATGATTATTCTTACCCAAGTGCACCCCAACATACACTTGAAAGTGAATCCCAAGGGCTATATTGTCCGCTGCTGTCAGACTTAAGGGCCTCTCTTCTGGGCTGGAGAGGAAGTTGGGGTGGGAAGGAAAGGGTCCAAATGGCATGGTGCATGACTGAGCTCTGTCACTTCCACCTCAGTTCACAGCACCAGATTCCAGCAAAATTTCTATCTAATTGGAGCAAGGACATATTGGTCAAGTAAGTTTCACTGAACACACTTCAGGAATGACTCCACCTTTTCTTTAGTATAATAAAGATCGCCATTTATGCTGTTGAAGTACCTCAGTAGACAAAATTTAATACCCTCCCTAAGGTGAGCTTGGAGGCAAGAAGGCTGTTTGATCCAGGGGTGAATGGTTTGGGGATTCTGCTGCCTTCCCACCTCCCCCTGAACAAGTTCCAGGTCAGAAGGGTGGAGAGGGGTCTTCCTGCCCATAGATCAATTGAGGATCTTAAATAACTACTTAAGGACCACTAAAGAGCATTGTTCTGCTACTGCTGGCTGGTTTTGCCAGCAGCCTACTCTGTGGGTCTCTCATTCACAGGCATTTTGTTGTGATCAAGCTACCCAATTTCAGGAAGAGGGTGGTCCACAGAAAGTCAACTGTCTTCCCTTGCTTCTGGCTCTGCTCCCTCCTTATTCTCCTTGTTTCTGACCACCTGCCCATGAACCCCATTCTCCCCATACTCATCACTCTCTGGGGGATCCATAATCAATCTTTTCTGCAGATCCAAGTAAGATCTCTTCTGTGGCTACCACTTCCAGTAACACTGACAATACTGGAGCTTTGGTGTTCCCTCCTATGTAATTGTTTGCCATTGTCCATAGTTTGGACTGTTCGCTTTCAAGGAGTCTTCACTACCAGAAATGTCCAATGCTGAATAATCTTTTGAGACCTGACTGAAATTGAATACCAGAACAGGTTCTCTTAGAGCTGTCAAGTGGATAAATTACCTGCATGTAAACGTTTCAGTTTGTAAAAACTTCCAGATCAGGAGTGTTTTGTTAGAAATCAAACATTGGTTATTCAAAGCTGAGAAAACTTAAGATCTCAGTTGGGTGGGCCATAGAAAAGCCAATGCAGTTCATAGGCCCCGGACTAGAAAGAAACAGTCAAGTCAATCTACTGATATATAGAGAAGGAACCTTTCTCTGATTTTGATTAACTGTAAAGTGATGGTGTTGGGGAACAGGCTTTTGTTTTGCCAGGTGTTCAAATTCATCTAAAGCTTATGTGCAGATATCTTGGCTTCTTTAATTTTATTTTTCTGATGTGCAGTAAGTTTATGTTTTATCATTAAATCCAAATCTGCAAACTGTTGTGTTCTTGTTTAAGTGAAAGATTACCAAGTTAAATTTTTAAAAAAGACAGAATATGACCTATGAAGCCAGGTTTAATTCTGAGATCTGACTTGCCAAGGAGAAATAGCCCTTACATGGTTCTTGAGTGGTTATTTATTGTTCGGGGTCGCACTTTTGGGATAGAGATAAAGAGGACTTGTTCTCTCAGAGAATCACTGAATCCCTACAGTGTGGAAGCAGATCATTTGGCCCATCATGTCCATATTGACCTTCTGAACAGCCACCCACCCAGACCCACCCCCTTACCCTAACCCTGTAACCCTGCATTTCCCGTGGCTAACCCACTTAGCCTGTACCCTGGGCACTATGGGCAATTTAGCATGGCCAGTCCACATCACCTGCATATCATTGGACTGTGGGAGGAAACTGAAGCACCCAGAGGAAACCTACGCAGACACGGGGAGAATGTGCAAACTCCACACAGGGTAGAGTCAAACCTGGATCCCTGGTGTTGTGGAGCAGCCAAGCTAACTACTGAGCCATCTTGCCCCCAAGGAGGGTTGTGCAGTTTAGATTTTTCTGTCTCGGAAGGCAAAGGAGGTGGCATTATCAAATATTTCAGGGCAAAGGTGGATAGATTCTTGTAGAGCAGGGGTATCAAAGGTTATCGGGGTAGATGGGAATGTCGAATTTGAAAAACCAGCAGATCAGCCGAGATCCTGTTAAATGACAGAGCAGGCTTAAGGGGTCAAATGGTCAACTTTTGTTCCTACTTCATAAATGCATATACTTATCCCAATTTACAATTTCTAATTCCCAGATACCAGTTAAAACAAATGCCCTTGATTAGAGAGAGAAAAGAAAGCAATACTCACCAACCAACTCCTTTGCTGCTGCCCTGTGCTTTTTATTCTCTTTCCTTTCAAACAGGGTTAGTGCACACTGAACTCCCCAGCTCTATATTCTCCAAAGGCTCACTCAGCTCTAGAGCCTACTCCGCTGCTGTTCTTCATACCCCACCACCAGGCACGCTCAGCTTTTGTTCTGATTGCTGCTCTCAAGCCAGGTATGGCTACCCTGCTCTTTGAACCCTGCTCAGCACTGGCTCTTATAACTGGTCTTACTATCAATGGATCCAAGACTCGTCAGAAATTGTATCTCAGATTTCATTGCAGTAATGGATCCAGAGGCAGTTCACCCATTACATTGAGATAGTAGGAACTGCCGATGCTGGAGTCTGAGATAACAAGGT